CACCCCTCCCCCGCTCGACGGCTGGTTCGGAGGAAAAAAGGAAAAAGTGTGCGGAGTTGGCTGTGTTGACTGGTCTCACTATCACAATGAAATGCTTTATAGAAACAGCCATGATGGCGAGGTGGCGGTCGGGGTAGGGGAGGAGCAGTTGCTTTGGAGAAGCCTCTCAAGACAGATGGTGGTGAGGGGGGGGGGAGTTGCAAAATTTCTGAAAAAGTGCGAAAGTGACGGTTGACCCTGGTTTCAGGCAGTTGCTGCCGGTTGCAGAAATTCCAGTTTTAACAGATGATGAAAATCCGCGGGGAGCGCAGCCATTTCGTTTCCGCTTTACCACTCACCCCGGAGCTTTCTTCACCTGCAAAGAAAAATGGACTGCTTTCCCCTCACTGGGTGCGACGCAGGTGAGCTATTCCTCAATGATCCACTCTCTTGGGATGCGCCACTCCTTCTACTTTCACTATCCAGAATCATGATTACTTTTGAGAGCGCAATTTACAAGTCTGTCTCCACCCTCTTCAGCGAGTCGGGTACCAATGATCCGCCCGGTAGGATGAGAGGCTTCATTGGCGTGAGTGAGGTCCACCTTAAGGTTCAAAGGAATCCTCCCCTGGAAATTATTGCACTTTTTCCCAGAATGACTGTGCCTGTTTTGATCACTAGAGACAATCTACATATAAAGTTACACCTAAGAAGGTTCAGTTAACAAACTTTCGACAACCGCGCTCTGTGGACGGTCGAAGGAAGGTTGAGCGGCGACAAAAGCAGCACCTAAAGACAGTAAAGACTTGCGCCTTGGAGCGGCTACCTACCAGGCGACGCTTTGGAAGAGATGGGTTAGAAGCGTGCGATTTTGGAGAGTAGAGACAAATCGATCGATAGAATAGGATGCAGTAGAAGTGTGAGATGTTAGTGCAATAAGTCAAAAGGTCAAAAAGAGTTTCTAGTGACGGCACTCCGAGAACCAAGTGGAAGCATTCCCGCCGCCAGCATTTGTGACAGATGTCGGCACAATTTGAACGCGTAACAGTCCTTCTCGTTTTTCGCAATTGCTTACCAAGAAACGCGATCTTTTCAATTCCTCTCGTTCTTATCATGAACGATGGATGTCAAGCAACTGGAGATGGAGCCACGATACTTCCGGGAAAGGTTCCTTTATTCAGGCGCATTATATGCGGAGAGAGTGGCCTTTGTCTGACCACAAAACAAAATTCAACATAAAAAGCAACGTAAAGCAATGAAATTGCGAGTATTTTTTCATAATTCTCCAGATCTTTGCCTTCTTTTCTCTTTTTAAAGGCCGTTCGAGTTCAGCCTCACTGAGTAGTCGCGGCGTGGATGGAGGTGTGGTTGACACTGCAGAGGTCGCAACACCTTCGCACATAGAAACGCGCTCAATACTTCGTTCAAATCACACCAACGAAAATAAGGGTCCGCCCACCGTTTAAGGCCGATGTCAGAGTTTGCGAATCGCTGATACGAGCGTTGCGTCCAGCGAATCGAACGTTGCATAAGCGAATCGAACTTTGCACCAGCGATTCGACCGATGTACCAGCGAATCCTGCTATGTGCCAGTGAGTCCACACTGCTTGAAAGGGGCGGGACAGAACGTTTAGAGGAAGTCCCGCCTCGACTCGCTGGCGCAACGCCCGTATCCAGCGAATCGCTCTTTTTTCGCAACCTATGAAATCGGCCTAATATCTAATCTGCGTCGCGACGTTTATCGATGTTTGCTCTCTCTGCCGGACTTCACCCTCTTTAGACAACTCACATTATCTCTTAGCTTTTTCTTTTTTCTTCAATTTTGGTACACTTCGCATCCCTACTTCCATCTCAAGAGATTACCACATCAAGTTAATCCCAATCGTTGTGCACCTTCCAAAGCGGTCAACTTGTTACGAGTCGAGAAATTCATTCGTCAGGGTTCAAGCTTTTGCACGTTTTAAAGGCAAGCCCCGGGATAGCATTGGTGATGAGAGCGCGTCGTAGGGTGTGCTCAGTTGAACAAAGACCTCAAAGTGAGAAAGAAAGCAAGAGAATTCTGGAATGGAAGGGATGGACGGATGCGACGATGATGAGACAGGGCGATCAAGGAAGACAAAACACGCGAGAGAGCACGTCGCTGAGCGGCACTCTCTACATCAATCGCGGTGGGTGGGAAGCGTTGCAACGGGGTCGATGGTTGCAGGCCCGTAAGGATTAGCGCCCTAACCGCGCAATTTTCGCGACGAAGCTGGAGTGATCTAGGTAGGTACGGACCTTACAATTTCCCTCGCGGTATCCTTCCTACTAGTCGGGCTAATCCCAAGTTTGCCTTTGAGTCTACTTCTCGACCAAAGAGTAGTGGAGCCAAGGATCGGAACAGCCGATAATCTGATGGGCAGTATCAGGGGCTATGTGGTGTGGGCTGAACTTCCTATTAGCTCATACTTCTTCTGCTTGGTGTTCTTGTCGATTTGCGACTGAGTCCTATGGTAGCAGATGGATCTCCGTGACTTGGCGATGCAATGTCACATCTGCAGCGTATTCTGATCAAACCAAAATACAGCTACCAACTCTACGACTCAAAGATTCACCTTATAATTGGCTTCTTCAGAGCGTAATTGTCTAGTATCTATGGTCGTCTTTCATGATTTTATATCAACGAACGCATGCGCAGAAGAGGCTTCCCGTTGTGCTATTCCCTCCAAAAACTTCACAGCGGCCAGTGACTTGCTCAGCATTCCTGCACTGTTTTGGGTTGTAGAGCATGGCACACGGCTGGGGTCTCGGGTCAATCGCTCCCAAAAAATTAACTATAACAGTGGTGAAAATTAAAATAATTGATCGTATATAGGGGGCGGAGAGATTATCATAGTTCGTACCGATGGGGGGGGGTCACCTATCGGTACGAACGATACGTTTTATTATTACGATTTTTCACATTTTTATGTAAGCAGTGCGTGGAACGACAGCGCAATATGACGTCTAAAGTGCAAGTTAGATTCAACCATGACGAATCTTTACAAATATTTACTTTGCATTCTTGCAACGGAACAGCTGTAAGGTCATTTATGATGGCCCACTAAACAAATAACAGCTCGAAGGATTTCTGCATGCGCTTCAGCTTTTGCACACGAGGAATTTGTGAATTTTTGGGTCTCATCCAGTAAGGTGGGGCATGTGGTGCGACAGTTCATATTGCATGAAGTAATCCACTTTTTTCAGGGAGGGAAGCTCCGGGGTGGGTGTAAAAGTTTAAGCGAAATGGTTCACGCACCCCGGGGATTCCCTCCCTTGCAAAAATTGGAATTTCTGTAGCCGGCAAGAACTGTCACACCACATGCCCCCCCCCCTTACTGGATGAGACCCGAATTTTTTTCATGCTTTATTCAAAAGGAGAAGCTGCACTCTGGCGCGACAGTAGTACTGAATGTTCTTTGCTTTGCTGGTTGCATCGTTCTTAAGACTGTCTGTTGAAGTCTTCACAAAAGAATGACATCAAAGAGGACCGACAGCGTAAACAAAGACAGTCTGAAGGAAGCTCTTGAACTGGATCTCTGCTCGACGAGAACTCGCGGAGACTTTCGTTACTTTTTCACAATTACGTACCATGCATTTGCGCGCCTATGCAATGGCGAACACCGGCAGTAAAGAGGGACATTTATATGGCATCAAATTCAATATTGAAATTAGCAGTGGTAGTCCATTTGTCTCAAAATTGATATAACCATTTCTTAGGCATGTGGTCAGAATAAATTTCAATCGCGGCATTTTCTGTTTCACTCTTTACCGAATTGACATCATAACCAACATATATGTATGTATTAGGATAGAAATTTTTGTATGAATTTCATAATTTTTTCTTATTCTTTAATTTCTCGCTTCATCGTGACCATATATTTCCATCCGCCATCAGTTCTTAGTGGATAATTCCGCATGCGTCCCACCAGTACAGAAGGGGACCAGTACAGAAGGGCCTTCTCTGCTACAACTCGGGTAGGCCTCGTTACTCAAGTTTCTTCGGGACCCAACCTGTGGGTTTTTTTGATGTGACTGAGACTGTAGAGCACGAAGCAGCAGCAACCAGGTGTTAAGTCAACAATCCTAGATCATATTGGTGGAGTAACAGGGTGGTTGGGTCGATCATGAATTGTGGATGCCAAACTGACTAAAGATGAAAAAAGAATCAAACATATCGCCGATGAAGCCATTGACAGTTTCCTCTCTTCCCCTTCCAAATGAGGAAGGGGCGGAGTCGGACGAGCTGTGCGAACTTGCTTGCTCCACGGCTCCACTAATCGCGCCTATTTGAAATAGCCGCGACGTCGATACGCACTGCGAACCACCTGGTGTGCGCAAGGTATCTTCCATAAGCTCATATTAGCGCCATCAGATCACTCTGTAAAGCCTTAGCCCCACTGCCGCGCGCTTTTAAGCCGCGTAACAGCACATATGTGATACTCGTGATCTACACTATCTTACTCACATAACAGATTTTCGACACACTCTCATATGGGGTGGTGTTGGCTTTGAGGTGATTTCACTACCAGAAGGAGTCCAGAGGATCTTGTACATTGACGAGTAACCCGCGCAAGTGAACACTCGAGCAGCTGGTGCGTCGGATAACTCGTCAGGGGCCAAAATATCCCATTTCGGTCTTGCCCAAGCCGGGCAGCAATCGTGCAACTGGTATGGCGCCCAAGCTGCTCTACCAAACAGCTCGCCGACTAGCGATGATCGGCTTGCACCAGGACGAAGTGGGCATCATGTTAACTTCGTCTGCCGTTCGCTGCTCAGAAAAAACTTTTCAGATTAGGATAGAACGAACTAACGATAAGCGGCAGCGCGATTTACAGACTCAGAGCTCCTTTTAAGGCATAGAGACCTAAAAATTCCCACTAAAATGTCCCTTATTCCTGGGGGTCCTCCTTACATATAGATGCCGTTCATAGAAGTTTGTGGAACTTCTGAATCTAATCTAAGAGTAAGGTCAACAGTCTTCCATTTTCCAGTTTTAAAAAATGAATATGTGGTCCAATTATAAACCAGAATCTATACCGCAAGGTGAAGAATCGTTCTGTTCAAATCTGTTTCTTTTTCTATGTTCCAGTACCTCGATTTGCTTGTTGGGCAAAGAAAACTCATTTCAGTACTGATGAAATTATGAAATTATCAATAGATTTTTGATTAACCCTTTCGGCCCTGGCGGTGGCAATTGCCACCATCAAATTCAAATGTTTGCATTGCCGCTGAAACAGCATGGTTTTTCTAATCCTGCTAGAGGTTGCTTCAGTCAACCTTCCCCTTCCTAATTATGAGCTAAACCTGCCATTTCATTGTGTGTTGCTGTTAGTATTATTAAAGTATTTGTGTACAAGTGCAACAATGAATGGGCGCTGACCCCCGCAACCGGCCAAGTAAGTGTGACTTTTTCTTAAAATACTTGAAGTAGATCCATTCCTAAATCAAAATTATGGGTTATAATGTTATGCAAGATTATAAACTTTTTCGGCATAACTATGAAATTTCGAATTGTTTCGACATAAGCTTAAAAACTAAGAAGGTGGGCCAATTTTCAAAGCTTCTTAGTTTCTTTGTTTGTGATCGAATAGCTTCCAAATTTCGCCATAATGATACCTATATGCTCACAAGTAATAAACAATAGCTAGAAGAAAATTTCTCCACGGGGAAAAATTCAGGTCCGAAAGGGTTAATGATGAACCGTTCGACAAAAACTTTTGAAGATGCGCGTCCAAGAGCTATGAGTTCGCCATCTGCATTACAAATCTTTCGTTTTCATAATGTTGCTTTGGCGGCAGTGACCAAAGCAACCGTGGTCAATCGCTTAGGGATCCTGGTGCTTATAGCTAACCATAAGCTACGTAGGCGTTGCGATTTTATCCATCACATCATGAATCAAACATCTGCGCTTATGCCCACAAAAGTTATGTTAGGTAGTGGTGCTCCACGGTGCTACTGTGTACACTGAGAAGCCCTTTCTGAAGATTGGTAGTCGTAGACTTAGCCAACCTTTCCCATCTGCCACGGATTTTGGGGCTTTTACCCTCAACAATTTCATCGTTCTATTTATCAATCGCACAGTTCTTATCATTATAGAAATGTGAGCCACTTCATCCTCCCAGTCTTTTCATTCAGTCCCCATGCCCTGCCAGTCCTCAGCTTGATACGCTTTCCCTTAGTGAACCCACTATTTCCTTATGGTGAAGTATTTTAGAAATTCAAATGAATGATTATGGTACAGCGAGGACGCTAAGATCTGTACCGAGGGATGCCGCTGGAGGAGAAGAAGAGGAGGAAAGTATGACTGATTTGGTGGAAATTCCAGAAACGGACGCATCAGTGAGTTCAGAAGATTTCATCGAACATCTTTCTCTACTCCGGCCCTTATTTTTGGCGCATGCTATACTGGCCACCATAATAATGATACTGTATTTACCTTCTTGAATCAATACGCAATATTTCAGACATGGTTTTCATGGCGAAAACTATGGGCATTTACGGGTCCAGGATTTCTTATGAGTATAAGCCTTATCTTGATCCAGAAAATTCAAATGATTACACTCTGAGTGCGAAGCACAGTACAAGGTAAAATATAGCACTATTATGTCCAACTGAACTTAACGGCATGATATAGTCCCACATTGAGGCTTCACAATTCTGCGGTTTGGGGGCCATAAGAAAATCATTTTGTCTCCACACTCAGACGGGTTTAATAACACTTCGCTCAATTCAATCGAAATGGTTCCCAACTTAATTTATTGAAGAGCACATTTCACTCTATAAGAAAATCTTCATAGTGGCCACCTTCGTGGACGGCATCAGAAGAATTTGCGCCGGGAACATGGTGCACTGGTCGAGCTCAATGTGGGGTCTTCGAAGGGACTGTGCGCTAAAACGAACTTTGCTGGAAATCAAGTTTCGAGGGGGTTTGCGTAGTGAAGCCAATGTCTTTACTAGGAAACTATCCAACATTGAATCGATTCGACGAAATTAGTAAGAGCTTCAGGCTGAAGCAGTTACGGTAGGCTCCTTGAAGCTTGACGACGATGACAGATGACGTCATATTCTGAAGACGGTGAGGGCAGTGAGGGAGGGCCTGCGACTTAGAGAGGGACATTTAGAGAATACTTTGCTGACTAACTTCTAATCTCTGCGAAGAAAAAAGGGCCGAAGTGCGACAGAGGCAAAATGTCTTTTTTGCCCCCCCCCCGTATAGCGCTGTAGCATAATCGAAAGAAAAAACAAGGGTAAAGCATTGGTGTCAGTCATTCCTTTGCTGTGGAGACCCGAAATATCTGCCAACAAGTTTTTATGGCAAGTCATTCAAATGAAATGCTAGGCTCCTGTGCAGGCTATGTGCACATGGAGCATTGCCCCTTAGCAATGTTTGAGTGATAATTATCCCTTTCACAAGCACTTAGTTCTCTATGAATTACGAAAATTGATGATTGATGAATTTTTCAGTTACTATGGGTATTGCTTTCCGCTCATATCACTGGTATGCTACTGCAACGAATGTCAGCTCGATTAGGTGTCGTAAGTGGAAAGGACATGGCTGAAGTAAGAATAATTCGTAATACTTTGTTCTATTTTCTATCGAGTATAATATCTGGTCCTTCCTTCGTGAACTTGTCAAAGAACCTCTCCCTCCTACTGCACCAGCAGTATGAATTCCACGACTTCCTTATAGTTCCATTCCAGGTAGCCCATATGTATTATCCTACCGTCCCACGTCTTGCTTTATGGATTATGATTGAAATCGCGATTATATGCAGTGACATGCAAGAAGAATGGAACCCGCTATCGCTATTTTTCTGGTCAGCAAAGGAAGGTCAGTTGGCAATGTTTGTTCGGTATAGGTACTCGTACAGGTCAAATCAGTGCTCCAATTATTGTCTTAAAAGTAGAGCAAAGACGTTCTCGAAGGCTAACTAGTAGATAATGAGGCAAAATGAGTGTCGGTGGCACCACACCATTGCCCATGTCTAATCACTGGGTAAATGAAATGCATTAGCATGGAACCAGTTTAGCTGCGCACGATATGCGAGCGCGAAAATTGGTTGCTGAGAGTAGACTACTTGTGGGATGATACTGACCCGAGGCACGCAAAATGCGGCTCGACCTGCTTATTCCTTCTTCTTTAATCCCGCTGATTATGGCTGGTAGGAGCATGATATATTGCAGGGGAACCTTGCCAAGTTTCATTCGTACTCTAAGTAAGCAAGTACTGATGCACGCATGATAAGCGATCACAACTTTATGCAAAAAAATTGTTATGTTATGGGAGTGTTTGGGTTTTAGGAGTGTGGGTAGAACGTGAATGAGGGAAGAATGAGGGTGAAGCAATGGGAGAAGTTGAGACAATAAGGAAATTTACTCGTTTTAAGCATATTTAATACCCTCACCCCGATTTTGGATGAAAGAAGTTATCAAGCGTGAAAGTTTAAAATTCGAGGATTTCCCGTTTCATCAGAGGTATTTGCCCCCCCTCCCCCCCCCCTCGCCGATAGATCTTGGGTTTTGGAGAGGAAAACGGGGTGGAATGAAGTGGGTCGAGTGGTCTTAGATTCAAATACTATAGAAACTGTGAACTTGAAGATGACGTCGGGGAATGGGATATGTCAAGTCTTTGTAATTCTGCGCCTCATACTCTACCCATTCCAAACTTGACCCGCCCTCCCTAGGTGATTTTTGAAGGAAGAATTATAAACATGTGGGGGACACTTGCGAATTTTTGGGGAGCGGTCAGACAAACAAACTCTGGTTTATATAATAGTATGATAGCCGCACGTGAGACAGCAAAAAGAGTACCAACTCAAATCCTAATTCGAGTCTGTATGCTGCTAGCGAGGTGTGGACAACCTGTGCTAATGAAGACGAACGTTGAAGCATGTACAAAAAGTGCGTTGTTATCAGTTTGATAGAGTTCAATGCGCCATGGTTCCAAGAAGAGCTCTTGAATGAATTCTAAGTCAGTAGTGAACATGGTAAGCTGTCTATCTCCTCAGAGAAGACGACGTCCGTATAAGCGGCGCCCAAGTTATTCAACCCAATCAGCGCCGCTGTTGTTTCAAAGCGTACTTGTTTGATAGGTCAAAAACCTAAACAACAGCTGCTTCCGGAGAATTGTGCGCATGGACACTTCTGGCTCTCGCTTTTTAGCGCTGCTGATGCGAAAGTATGCTTGCTTTCTACACGGTAAGCAAGACTAGGCTCAACCTTGGTGTTGGTCAGCTTTCGGATCCAGTGCAACCCCTTTCTAATCATTGGCGAGGCTTAGGACCAGAGCTTGTAAAGAGCTGTAGCTAGAGAAACGGCCATGGAGATGTCCTAAATATTATAGTGTTCATAGCGCATGCTGACGATGAACCACGTCATATTTGGTAAAACCTCTTTCATCATTAATAGGCTGAACTTCTTTCTATTTTTTCATGTATTCGAAATCTACAAGATTTTTTCTATCCGATTCTTACTAAAATTGTCCCGGTTTTTGAAAGATTCTTCTGCCATGATCTTAACGCACGAAACTTCACAGAAATTCCACAGAAATCCTAAATTCCCAGCAATGTTCAATGCGTAAAAGTTATATAAGCCTATAAAAGTGGAATTTCGATTAAAAGACGAGTAGCGGTGATGGAAAGGGAACATTCATTCACTTCCCTCGCAGTGGAAGCTAAAACTATTTTTATCTCGATTGTTTCGATTTAACCACTTATCTTCCCATTCATGACGCTTTGTCTTTACTTCTAGCCCTCTTTTCATTCACATGTTTATGGCAATAAAGAGCAAAAGAGAAATTAATCAAACTAAAAATTCCATACGGCTCAGAAAAACTTGCCTAAAAAATAGAGCATATGTATGATTCCTGAGTCCCTATATCATTCCATGTGGGTTGAAATAGTTCTACGAGCACCTTTTTTGGCAGGCCATATGGGCTGCCACGGCGTGAATGGCGCTTATTCTATATACTAACTATTTCTTTTTCCTTCATTCCGTTCTCTTACTACTTATCATATTTAGGGTGCCATTGTGGGCTGGTGTACTTGTGACTATAGTCGATACGTTCACGTTCCTGTTCATTGACCGCTATGGTGTGCGAAAATTAGAAGTTGTTTTTGGACTACTTATTTCCACCATGGCTCTATCGTTTGGCTACGAAGTGAGGTTTTTTTACGCGCTATTATGCCTCATCGACACTGTTCAAGTGTTGCTGTTCCAGTATTTTGTGGTCGCGCCACCGGTGCTGTCCGTTCTACAAGGGACGTTCATACCGTGGTGTACCGGATGTGGCAGGGAGGAGCTTCTGCAGGGGATCTCAATTGTTGGAGCAGTCATTATGCCGCACAATCTTTATCTACACTCAGCTTTGGTTAAAGTAAGTTAATTTTTCTTTTTTTTTCTCTAATCCTGGCGAATCTGGAAAGCTGCAAATGAGATACTTCTCGGGGTTGAGGCAGTCTCAACCGTCCGCTCGCACTAGTCGAAAGAGGGGCTCACATTAGTGATTCCAGAAAAGGGGGGGGGTGGTTGAATTCCAGGATGAGCGAGGTGAATGATTCTTGAAAAGTGCGAACGGAGGTGGTTAGAAGGGGTTGCTTGATTGCTTCTTTACCGGTTTGACGAATTTGGTGAAAGTTCTCGAAAGGACGCTAATCATGCAGGTACAAGGTTAGAGGTTGGTTGTGTATACTGGTCTCAGAATCAAATACTGTAGAAACAACCATGGCGAGGGTGGTGGTCGGAGAAGGGAGAAGAGAGGTCGCAAAATGTTTGAAAAGTGCGAACGCGACGGTTGACCCTCAGTGGATGTCCGAATGTGGCTTGCATAAGCGAGTCTGCTTGAGAGAGCCATAGGCACAGGCGCAGACGCGTGTTCGAATGATAGAGACTAGCTCTCCTATTTTGTTGTCTCCCGGAAGCTTCCTTCGGAACAGGTGGAGAAGGAGAAGCTGATGAATGGAAATCGAGTGTCGCCTAATATCGGTCAAGACATGAGGGATCCATCAGGTCTGCAAGTTATTGCAGCCAAGGGCGTGAACGCGGCTAAGGATGGCTGGGCAGGCACACCCAAGTCTCATCGCAAGACTGCGGGTGCTAACCTACGGATTCTTTTTAAAAGTTTGCGGGGCCTTCCACTCTGTAGATGCGTCTAAATCGTCTACTAAGCTCGGTCTTCTCCTCACAAGCAAACGTATCAGCGTTTGAGACTACTGATGGAGGTGATGTCCTTTCCCAAAGCGCCGTTGATGTTGTGAACGATTTCCATAGTTTTTTGAGACTACTGATGGAGGTGATGTCCTTTCCCAAAGCGCCGTTGATGTTGTGAACGATTTCCATAGCTTCTGGCTGCGACACCATTCTTAGAAGATGATGGCTTCGAGATGCTTTTGTGGAATTGACATTGTGATTGAGAGTAAGGCCACCCGGCTGTATATAGCTATCAGGGAGACGTTTCGAGAGCGGGCTAAGCTACGGAAGGTGGTAAACTAACTAGGTATAAAAAGAGTAATCGTGAAGCCAATTTCGTTCATTGTCGCTTTCAGTCACGACGGGTGGATCGCGCCAAGAGAGAACGGGTAGCTGAAGCAAATTTTTACTTCACGGTCGAATCTGCTATTGCTTTAACATGCAGTTTCTTCATAAACGTATTTGTTGTGGCGGTATTCGCCCACGGATTCTATCACAAAACAAACTACGACGTGGTGAGTCTCTTTACCTAGCATTGCTTTTTAAAGGGACATTCTTAGATTAAATACCTTAATTAGTCTAGCGTACCTCTTGTGATGCTCAACATGGAATATTCGACCCGTATGCATTCCCATACAATAACGAGACTGCAACTTCGGATATTTACAAGGTAAGCTGTGTCTTCTATTTCAACAAACCATTTGAAGAAGATTGGCGAACAATGGAAACTAACAAGGCGCACTGGAATCCAAAAAGGGTGCCCTTCTGAATAGCACTCGGAAGAAGCACACTAGTAGATTGTCTCTAAATTGCTTCGAGTTTCCTATTTAGCTCAACCTCTTTTAGAGCATATCTCATTATTAGCACGGTAAGTCAATCCCTTCGTGAGCAACGCAGAGCTGTCCACCGAGGTGGAATATGTGCCATTTTCGTTGAAAAAGTCGCTTGCCAGAAGCGCTTTGGTCTTCCCATTTTGCTTGGAACCACTGCAGATTTTGATTTAAGCGAAATGGTCTATCTAAGGTCGTGATTTTCCGTTCTGCACGTCCTTTATGCTTTTTCGTATGATCCTCTGCCGTGAAACCCCCTCCGACCTCTTTGTTGTTGACTGAGCCAAACTCCAGAGAGGGAAGCACCCAATGTCGGTATTTCGACGATTGGTTTTTCCTTCAGTACCAGTCCCACCTTACTCTTCTCTTTGCATTTTTGAGCAAAGGAGCCACTCGTTGGAATGGAAAGTGCATGCACGTTTAGGCGTAACCTGGCAGGATCGCGAGCGTGAAACGCGGAATTTTAGTGTTTCATTAGAATGCTCCTAGATTCAGCAAATAGAGTCTGAGTACTTAAGGCTGGAATCTTCCTTGGATGTGAGTTTGGTCTGGCAGCCCTCTATGTTTGGGCAATCGGAATTTTTGCCGCCGGTCAGAGTTCAACGATGACAGGAACATATGCTGGGCAATTTGTCATGGAGGTGAAAAGAATTACCAATAATACACCCTCATTGTGTCTTTACTCGTATAAGTCGTATTCTAGGGCTTCATCCAAGTTTCCTGGCCAAAATGGAAGAGGGTTTTGGTAACTCGAGCCATTGCCATCTTACCAACGCTAGCGGTGACGTTTGTCGCCAACGGAGTTCGTAGTTTAACCGGTCAGTTTTGAATTTTAGACACAGGTATTAGATAACAGAATTCAAATGGTACCGCTGTCACACGTAAGATTAGGTCGCATATCAAGTCCCGCCAGGCTTCACAAACCTTCCATTAGAAAGGGAACCGTTATCTGGTTTGATATTTATTTCAAAGGACAAAATTGACGCATTCATAGAATGAACAGTCGTTCTTTAGGCCAACCTTGTTCTCAACGAGTAAAAGGTGTTGACAGTGTCATAAACACATGAGAAATCACTAACAAGGGGGAGGGGTCTTTCAGGGCAAGCCACGCTTCTTCAAAACAAGGTCAAGGTATCATTCACCATTTTTTGGCACTACTAAAACCGTTCAGCGAAAACGAAACATGGTTTTGTGGTCCATACATGCGTCCCTACAATATGCAAGAAACCGTTTCCAAAAAGCGCGGCTTGCCCTGAAAGACCCCCCCCCCCTCGTAAGTGGCCGAAAAATCGCTCAATTGACTTGAACATCAAATTAATTAATTACATAAATTAGTCAATCAACCATGCATTTCAGGCATGAATGACTTTCTGAATTGCATTCAAATGGTTCAGTTGCCGTTTGCTTTGATTCCGATCATCACATTCACATCAAGTCGAAAAATTATGCACGACTTCAGGAGCTCGAAGTATGTATTAGTTTGAACGTGTTTAGCTATTTCTGGAGTTTTAACAAATTTCCCTATAGTGCGCACTATCAGCTATGGAAGGTGGATTTAGGTCCTCATAGTAGTTTTTGAGAAAATTATTCTAGATTGAGAAATTATACAACTTTCATACATTCTATGGACGCATCTTTCATACAACCGGAACGTCCAATTAAGCGGAAAATTCTGCTGGAAGCAATTCTGAGCAGCCTAATCCAGCAAATTCGCTGAAAATTCACGTCGCTGGTGGTCCGCTCACAATGAATGCTAGTCAATTTGAAGATATCTTTGCATCGAATCCTATAAGGAACTCACTGTGGGTTACCACTACGGTTACGGCTTAAAGGCACAGGTCGCGTTCGATTTAGTGTGCTCTTTCGATCCAGAATTAGACAAGAATTGCGAAGAGGAATGTTAGTGAAAAAACAAAAAGCACTACTGGCACGAAGCAGAGACACACAGAGGATACACGAGGGAGCACGTCGTACGTGAGAGGGGCGCAGAACACGTATGTTGGAATTGATAAGAATGGCAGCGGTCGCAGTGTTCAAGCGAAGGCATTAGCTCTCTTGAAGCAACACCCCCAGCAGAAGTCGTGTCGAAGAATCTATTCAGTGGGTGGAATAGGCTAGCCCACAAGTATCACAGATGTGCCACACTCGCGACAGTGGCGCTAGGGTCTTACAAAGGAAACTATTGTGACTACTCCCAATGTGTGGACGAGTTACGTCGCGCACACCCAGTGAAAGACATCGTGGATTACGGCGTAGGGACTGATTCAAATACATGCAGGTTAGTAGTTCGTGCGATAGGCAGTTGTGGGAGTCGCGCTCTGGCGTCCCACCGTTCTTTTATTCAGGGAAACTCTTGATGTTGGGAATTTTCTTCTACGAATTGTTCTTTGGGATTCGTATTGATTTTTACTCAACGTCGCATCCGCCAACTCATTGTCGCTAGCTTGTATCCCCGCCTAATTTGATCAAGTGGGGTGCTGTTTTTAAGTACAGAGGCTACCATTATTACGCTAGTGCCCGACAATCGACCGATCGCAGCGAGCCCGTGAGAGAGGCTCCTAGCCTCACTCAGGAGAGATTTTCTCCCGAGATTTTATCTGCGTACTCGCGTGGCTTTCAAGGGGCTTCAAGCAGTCTGCAGTGTTTTGCTAGCAAATCGAGATTGACCATGACTTAGTAGCCGGCACTCGTATTTTTTTGCCTTGACTTTTTCATTTTTCGCAGATAGAAAAGGCTGGAAGAAAAATACTTTCATGAAAAACAATAAAGAAAATGATATGTATAATAAATCACGCCGATTTGAGTACTTGATGTGGATGTTCAGGAACTGCGCTGCAGGTTTTTTTTTTAGTGATAACGTCTTTTATGAAGCACCACACTTCACTCTCCTTGGCATTGTAGTAATTGATAACGTTGCGAGTTGTTAACTTTGCACGGTCGTTTTCATTTTTGCTTGATAGCAACTACCATAATCCTGAGTATCAACGTGTACTTTATATTCGACTATGTCACTTCTTCGTTGAGTACAGAGTGGTTCGTTTTAGCACTCTTAGGTGCTCCAACCACACTCTATGTGATTTTCGTAGCTTATTTGGTGAGTGAATGACAATTTTTTTTCTAATTTATCCGAAATTATCTATGATCGAGCTCTTCTCTAAAATGTAGTATGGTTTCCGCAGACAGGTGACTCTGTTTCAAGTGTCGATTTTCTATACTATTGCGCTGTAAAGGCTGCGTGAGGCTATAGTTGTCTAGCGCTCTTTTTATTTTGCCCTCGGGCATTAGTAGGCAGACGTGTGTTGACTTCCGTTGATTTCATTGCAGATTGAAGCTGACGATAAACTGGTAGTGAAGAAAGCAAAATGAGGGTAGCAGTAAGGAGTTTAGGCACCAGGGCGTCATCTGAGGAAGTCAGCGAAGTCAAGAGGAGGTGGGAAGGGTACTTCAGCGGGCTTCTGAACAAGGAGTTTCCCCATAAAACAACTCACAGGCTGAGGCTCACAGCTGGACCCATCACACTCTGGACAGAGGATGAGGTTCGGTGTGCGCTAGAGAAGACGAAGGTTGGAAAGCGGGTTGGTCCAGATGGAGTACCAACAGAGGCTTGGAAGGCGCTTGGAGAGCACGAGATAATGTGGCTCACCCGCTTCCTGAATACGATAACTGCCAAAGGAAAGGATGCCGGATGCCTGGAGAACAAGTACTATCGTCCCCATCTTCAAGCAGAAGGGTGACGCGATGGACTGCTCCAACTACCGCGGGATCAAGTTGACTGCTCATACAATGAAGCTGTACGAGCGACTGGTCGACTCGAAACTGCGGGAGCTGGTCCCCATCTCCCAGGAACAGTTCGGGTTCATGCCTGAAAGGTCTACTACGGATGCCATCTTCATCGCAAGGCAAGTGTGATGGAAAGCGTACCAGAAGAAAAGCACCGACTGCCAATAGCCTTTTTGACCTGAGAAAGCATTTCGACCGGCGGGAAGCGCGGCAGTGTATGTTGAGGCGCTCAGGGAGACCGGATGTGCCAGAACGCACCGTGATCGTCTGTTTATGAAGGACATGTACGGTTAGGGCTAGGAGTATACGCACTCATAACGGCAACGAACGAAGACGTGGACCTTAGCGTGGGGTTGCCTAAGGGATCAGCTCTGATTCCCTCCCTCTTCATCTTTTAACTAGATGTCCTGGTGGGAGCTTATGGAGGAATAACTGAAGACCGCTTATGGAGGAACCACTGAAGACCATCCTCTGCGCTGGCGACGTCGCCCTTATGGCTGATAGCAGAGAGGATATTTAGTGCACGCATGGAAGTAGTGCTGGCAGAAGATGGGCTTCGGCTGAATGTCACGGAGACCAAATTCCTGAGTCTTGGAGATGGCTCAGAGCCGATCGTGAATGAAGCCACCGACAGAGTGGAGGGACTTCGATACTTGGAGCGTATGGCCGCCTACGTTAGTGGTGGAAAGAGCAATAGTATCAGCGCGGCATGAGTGAAGTGCAGGGAAGTCACTGAGATCTTCCGCTATCGCAAGTTGCTCCAGGATATTCAAAGGGAAGGTGTACCCGATAGTGGCAAAGCCTGCGCGCGCTCTACAGCAGCGAATACTTGCCCCCGAACAAAATGCACGCGAATGGCAGCTTGTGAGGATGCTGAGATGGGCCTGCGGCTGGACGCGGCTGGACAGAGTTAGAAACGAAGATGTCAGAGCGGTCATGCAGACTGCCCCTGTCCAGCTGAAGGTACGGGAACAGCGTCTGCGATGGTATGGGCATGTGCTAAGGAGGCCACAGGATCATCCGATAGAACAGCGATCTACTTCGAAGTGCAAGGCAAGCGACCTGCGAGAAGCCAAAGGATAGAGGTTGGGGAGGCCGCATCAGTACGACCAAGTCGACGTAAGGTTGAGGTCACAGTCACGGTAGAGGTTACTTGGCCCTCGGACAGAACAGAGTGGCGGCGATCTGACAAAGGCAGCGAAGCTATGCCGACTGGCGGATCTAATGTTAGGCAGGAAAAGAGCGAAGGGTACTGTAAGGGGAGCAGGACGGAGGCGGTGCACGCGAAGAAGCTGCTACAACGTTGACCAGCTGCATATGTGGCTTGGAACTGATCGTTTCGGGCAAAGGTTGCGCCCTGCCCCGACGAGACTCTAATTTGCAGTCCTTCCTCATATGGTGAAATATGTCAAATTGGGAAAAGATTCGGAACCAGCCAACAAGGCTCCCGTAGGGAAGAGGCGCAAATATAAACCTAATCGATCAGCGCCCAACATGACTAGTGGTTCGTAAAAGTTTTTTTCCTTTTTTCTTGCTTTTGGACCAACGAAGACTTCCATGTTGGGATGTAATACCCTGCTCCCACTCAATAGCGGGGTATACCTTCCATGCCCAAAAATTATATTTTAGGCTTTTGGTTTAGTAAGATCCCATAATTGAATGATTATGTTCATTGCAAATGAAGGGCTACGGAACTATAATAGAAAACGAGGTGATTACGCAATGGTATCCAAGATATATACAGAATTTCGTTCCTTCCCTCAGCCAGATATGTCGTAATTGCATACTCCTTATCGCTCGAAAAGGAAAAGGAGAGCAGTTTATAGGGACGCTGAAGTCAGCGGCTTGATCACTTCGGAATTCGGCTGTTCTGAAGGAGGGCATTGAGGGCGTGGAAGAAAGAATGAGCGAGAGAGCACCCATGAGGGGCGGAGACGGTCCGCATGTTATTGCGAATGAGAGATAAGGGACGCGAACGAAACAGCCTTGGTAAGAGCCTAGAGCCGTTGTCGTACACTTTCGGTTCGAGAGAGTGGAATGCCTATGATTTTGATGAGCAACTCTATTCCCACCAAATGCATTGATCCACCTGAACATAGTGGGATGTGCAATTGAAAAAGGGATCGGCAATCTTTGTATGATCGTTTCTGACCTATCTCATCTGGATAAAAGATTTTCAGCTCCCATATACCTACAACCTGATTTGCGCTTTTTTCCTGTTCAATAGATTTTAATTTAGAAAAGATTCGCTGCATTTTTTTTTATTTTCAGGCGACCTATTGCTTGGTATCCTGTGAGATCATTCCTGAAACAACGGTGAGTTTTGGGACATTTCGTGAATAATTGGTATTTGACCATATGTAGATCCAATGTTGATGACGTGACCCTTTCCCCTAATTGCGTACTTCCAAATGTGAGGGCAGTGATTCGAACAACAGTATGTAGGGAAAGTTATGCGATGTGTTCAATCGTCAAAAATGTTCATGCAGGAGATTCCACCAGAATGAATTCTAGTTCTATTCACTTGAAGACAAGGCTCATTATCAAATTCATGCGGTAGTCCTACTCACAAATAAAAGAAAGGAAGGCGTGAACCGCCTGTGGAGAAAAAGGGGTTAACCAAACCCCGAAAAAGTTGAGAGTGGAATATCTTAGCTCTACACTGCGAAGAAGCCTTGAGCGCAGTCAGCGAGATAAGAGATAATGGGAAGGATGGTAACGGAAAAGGTTCTTGAGCTGCTATTTGGGACTAGTCCAGGATTCTTCTATAGTTATGGCATCGTTCTTTACAAAAAAAAACTGGCATGCCTGGGAGCGTTCCGTTTTAGTGTTGAGACATGGAAAGTTGGGACAATTCATGTCCTGAATGTCATAGGACCCATAATTACCATTGAAATTTATTTTGCGAAATCATACCAGATATGGGAAACAAATAACTTTTTTAGACGATACGTGGATTCGATTTCGTGCGCAATTATGAGGCGGATGCCCCGTGGTTGCGATGCACTCCTCATCAAAATGATGGGTTTGTACAGTAATTTATAGGTTCCATGTTTATACCGTACATTGTGAAAAATAAATTATAAATTCGGTCTCTGTTGCTTTCACACATCTTTGATTTGAGCTTTCATACATTCTTGTTCTTTTGACTGCAACTTGGTCTTCTATTACTCGTTGCAACTTTCCTTTTGGCTGAATGATTGCAGTGAGAAGACAGAGAACGGTTGGAAGTACACGCTTTGGGTAGAAGTCGGCCTAATAATTTCCAGTTTTGGCCATATGCCCAACTTTCTAAGTGCGTAGAACAATAGTCAGCTTTTTGTCTTCGACGAGAAGGACAGAAGGTACTATTAGGTCGTGAAGAAAGTTCTTGCGCTTTTCGGTGTTTCGTTTTTGAACGCTTTATTTTGTTACGAATTCAAGCAAGCTGCCAATGAGCTGTATGTGGTTTTGAAGAGCTTTTCTTGTTCTATCTAACAGCTAGGCTAGCTATGTTCCTTATTATTTAGTTGTCATTTTTTGAAGCCTTGAATACGGCATACTCCAAGAGCAAATTTGCATGATTTCCTTTTTCTAGCTCAAAGCAGGCCAGTATGGAGAGGAAGCAGGTCAAGATATTATAGACGCACTTGGCTGAGAGATCGCAATAAATATGGTCTGAAGCAATTGTTCAAAAAGCTTTTGTAAGAATAGCGAGAGCCCTAAAGATTGTGAGGGTGGTGATCGGAGATTGGACAACGCCAACGATTAGTCGAACGTTCTGGTTGAAGCACGTTTGCACAAATCTATTGAGAGGGTTTAGCGAACGTTCTGGTTGAAGCACGTTTGCACAAATATTGAGAGGGTCCTAAACTAATCGCACTTGCATGTGTTTTCTTGTTGTACGGGAAGAGCTGGAAAGTCCCAAAAATTCAAATAGGGCGTGCCGCGACAGCTCACCATTTTGAAGGGTCGTTCGCCGCGTTCTAGCTTTTTATGCCATGAAAACGACCTGACTTTTTGATCATTTGCGACGCACGACAAAGAACGGATTCTTTGCTACAGAATACGAACCTTTGGTGAAGTCGACCGCGATCAGGCTCTACAAACTTTGCAAAAGTGAAACTTCACTGAAGGAAGGTTGAGGTGACTTTCATAAGGTCAGCGGCTGGTCTAGCTTTTCGTAACCAGGTGGATCTGTTAATGTGGAAAAAGTACTCCTGATAATGTGTCAAACTACTCCTAGAACTCTGGCACATATGCTCGAAATTCCTCCTTTTATAAAGGAACCGGCTCGTCCCTGACAGGTAGCTCGGACGCACATTCCACAACCAACCCTGCAGAAGTTGGACAAGATTGGCTACGAATTAGTCCTGCGAACATCCTACTCGGTAGACCTTTTGCCTATAATTTGTCACTTTCTCGACTACCTGGATAGCTTCTCCAAAGAGTTATGCTTCAAAAACCAACATGATGCAGAAACGACCTCCGCCGGGTTCATCGTCTCTAGAGCTCCAGTATTCTGCACTATCATGCTGATTCAACGCAGCTCTTATTGAAAGAGGCTTGCAGATTCTTACAGTCTTACTCGATCAAAAAGGTTCGAATGAGCCGAGATACAGGCATTTGAAAATCAAGGTCCAAAAAGCGCAAGAACTTTCTTCACGGACCTAATAGTAGCAATGTAATCCGGAAGATTAAAGAGCATTACCAGGGATTCTGAGTGAGGACATCCGTTTCATTGAGATAACAAGAAGCTTTTCGTGTACGGCGGCATTCCTTATTGGTACACAAAAGTGCTCACCTTTTTGAAATTGAGAGCACAATCCTCAATTTTCGCCGAACTCGTCTATAATGGGTGACAGGTTCCTGGCACGGAAATGGCAGTCGTTTTGGAACCTTTGTTCTTCTTTCATATTAAAAATCTCCTATTGCAAGTAAAGCACAACGTGCGAAAATTTGCACACCTTGGGAGCAAATTCATAACCTACGGCTCGCAGAGGAACAACACACCCACTAGACAACGGCTACTGTTAATCATGCTGGATGGCTCGCCTCAATAAAACGTTGTGAGCCTTCAAAGTTGGGTCCTCTGAAGGATGCAACTTTGAAGGCTCACAACGTTTTTTAGAAATTTAGTGTAGTTGGAGCATTCCCTCCTCAGAGCAACTGGATCTATGTATAACAGCTATTTCCGTTACACCAGTTGACCTTTAATATAGTGTCTTTAAGTTCTTTGACAATTCGGAAATTTTTCTCATTTGGAATTTTGAGCATCTTTGTAATGGACCACAGCGCTGTAACTCGCTGCTCCCGATTACAAGTACGATCTAGCCGCTGGGCAACACGCCTGCATAAGGTCGAGTAGTTACAATTACAATAGAGCTTATTCTTATATGATCTGGCTCAGGTGACAAAAACTTTGAAACACCCCCCCCCCCACTTCCCCTCCCTCCAAAAAAGCCAAGCAGTTATACATTCTCAAGTGGCAACCATTGTGAATCACAACTTCATAATTGTAGCTTACAAAGCAACTGTAGCTTGTCAGTCACTGAAAAAAAATTTCCTGTGACAGTTGCGCCTGGAAGTGTGAATTTGGTAGTGTAACTTAGCCTGTCATCCCAGCCAGCCTGACGGCTCACAACCTTCTTAGAGCAACAATCAGGGCCCACAAACTGTAGGAAGATCGCATGTCCTCATCCATCCCACCAGAGTCAACACCCAGATGGGCTCTGTTGTAGAATCTGTTCTGTGGAGGAAAAAGTAGAAACCTGCATCGAGATGTGCCGTTATCACGGTTCGTAAGTGCACGACTGCAACGTTGGGGCCTTAAAAAGGGATTTCATGGCAACTAACGTGAACTTATGGACGAGATACCTTGGGGCTCACCCTCACCAACGTGAATTATGACTGAACGGATAAGATAGACGGAAGGTAGATATGGTGGCTTCGTCGCATCGATGTCGTTGCGTTCAAACTCTGGACACTTTCCGTGTCGGCATTATCAATATGTACAGTACTCGCCGTTTGAAATCGAAAATTCACGCGAATAACGCGAATCCTCGTTAATTTCGTGAATTCGTTATAAGTCGGGTCAGAGTGAAGTATTCCAGAAACGGAAAACACCGTTGAACTCAGCTCTTCAAGCGCTACAAGATGGTGCTAAAATATTTTCAGAAAGCTTGATTTCGGAATGCGCCATGCACTCGATTTTCATCTCAAAAAGTAGTTGCTCGCATGTGATGTGTATATAATCCCGCTTATGCGGGCTAACCGCTACACACAAAGAAGGGCCTCAAAACTTACCCCAGAATGCGCCACGTACTCAATCTCATCCACTACATTGTGAGATTAGATGAATGTTATTTTCCGAATTCTTAGATCTTCATTTCGTTTTTAAGCGCTTACTGGCTTTACGTGTTCCCTCTGCTCTCAATATCCCATCCTCTGTATATCAAGTGGAATCTTTGAACAGTTCTCAGCAGGCATAGTGGGCCTATTATGTGACATTTTCCATTTTCAGAGGAGATGTTTTGCAGAAAGCTGTGAAGATAGCGAACAATTTCCTTCACTGTCGTAGACTACGGTCACTTGTCTGTAAGGATTATATGGAAAACTTGGTCGCAGGTGAGCGTTCCTTCCGTGTGTGGCCCCAAACATGCCTCCTCGTCATGCCCTTGTGGAATGTTCAGATTTTTTGCATTTCCAGATGAACTCGCAGACCTGAAATGTGCCCCGTTAGCTTCCCCGTGAAAAATGCTATCGAATGATATGCATTACTTCCCCAGTTGAAACTTTGGTTTTTCACCGTTTTCAGCCTTCCCCTATTGCCGGATTGGGCTATCCCACGATTACTGCCCCAAAATCTCAAAGTTTCATTTTTCGTCGAAACTTTGTCTATTGGGGTAATTCGATGCCCTGATTACGAATATGACATTCATTTTTGATGCTGGTGTCATTTGGCGCCAATTTGGCGCCACGGCTGTTTTCACCAAATCTGCTGAAACTTCGTCATTTGGGGTTATTTGGGGTCCTGATTACGAAAACGACACCCGTTTTAGCGCTGGCGCCATTTGGCGCCACGGCTGTTTTCACCAAATCCGCTGAAACCTCGTCATTTGGGGTTATTTGGGGTCCTGATTACGAAAACGACACCCGTTTTAGCGCTGGCGTCATTTAGCGCCGTTTGGCGCCTGTTTGGCGCTACGGCTGTTTCCACCAGATCCGCTGAAACTTCGTCATTTGGCGCGACGGCTGTTTCCACCAAATCTGCTGAAACTTCGTCATTTGCGGTTA